TCCTGGTCTCTCCACAGGGACACCTGCAAGAATTGTTGCAGGACGTTTACAATCCAGGTTCCATTTGGTCCTTATTCATGGATAAGGTCCTTCATGTTGACTTCAGTGTCAACTTCTACCACATCCTGCACCAGTGCAGCAGGCAGTCCAGGATATAGGCTTCAGTATTCATGAATGCAAATAGTCCTGGAAAGAAGAAATTTAGTCAGGGGATGCAAGAAAATATATTCTGGTTGTAGTGACAAAGGGGCTGTGGTCACCAAGTCAGGAGGAATTACCTTTTCCCCCAAACAGGTGGTCAAGGTTCCTGCAGCACAGATCGGTTGATCATCAGGTAGCAGTCTCATCAGCACAATAGTCCTGTAGGCCAGTGTTTCCCAATCCGTTCCTTTGGGACCCATATCCGGTCCATGTTTTTGCTCCCTCCCAGCTCCCTGCCAGACAGTACATAATTTTGCGGGACCAAAACCTGGAAAATCTGTGGGTCCCCAAGGTCTGGATTGGGATACAGTGCTATAGGCTGTCTAGCTTGGAGGACAAAGATAGCATTAGGAACTCGCTTACTTTCTCCTCCCCAGCACAGCATAGTCCTAACCCCTAGTTGGGGCAATTAGCAGCTGCCAGCAGCATCCTGTTAGCACTCATTATGGCCAACAATAAGGAAACAATGGTTACCATCTGCCTGTATGGTTCTTATTGCCCCCTGCTGGTGCACGGCGGATTCCTGGTGGATCATCGCGTTACAATGTGTAAAGAAGTGTGGGAATAGTCATCGTAATCAAAATGTTGTTTCTCACTGAACTGGCAATTGTTTAACATTGAATTTATTCTATTCGCTCCAATCACTGTCACCATCACTAAATACACTTTAAGACTTATTGTTGCTCAAATTATTTTACAGTGCCTATTAACACAACCGAGATGAAGATTCAAAGTGTGTATTGGTCGGTGTTGGACATTTCAGGACCAGAAGCTACAAATCCAGACCAAGATTTTGTTTCTACCAACCAGTTGAGTACTCCGTGACCGTGACTCTTAACGCTCAGCTGGATTTGTAACTTCTCGACCGGAAATGCCCAACACTGCTATCAGTAATAGCTGAGAACAAAGAAGAATGGTAATTTGATGGACTTAATCGGCATTTCAAGTTTTTCAAGTTTTATGTTTACGTGTTCGGAAAAACACAGGGAACAACTTGTGCCATAGTTGCAGTGAAGGGGACAGCAGGACGATAAAGGGCAAAACAACAGCGCAAAAAAAAGACAAGACAGTGCAATATAGGAAGTGGAATGATAAATATGCAATAAATGCGCAATAAGTAGGAGGTCCATGAGAGAAGGATGTGCAGAATAATAAAGTGCCAAAGTGGAATTGACAATAGTGTGTAATATAGTGCAGTGTGGCAGGGACAGATGCAGGTCAATGGTTATTCTCAAAATGATGGCTTGAGGAAAAGCTGTCCCTGAAAGTCTACGTGGGCATACAGTGAAATGAAATAGCATTTATCTAAGCTTTCAAAAAGGGCTTTATGCAGAACATAGCAGTCTAATAGAAAAAACTGCAATAAATAAATAAATCAATGTGCAGCACACAGTGTGCTGTGCAACTAGGGCTGTGCAGTGGGTATTATTGCACATTACCTACGTTTAGAAATGCTCATGTAAACAGCTTACAGTGAAAGAACAACAATACTTTGATTTATATTGTTTTTTATTCATTCAATAAATTACTTGTGATGTGTTTGGAAACATGAGTTTTCAAACAAACAAACAAACAAAAGTACAACTCGCCTCGTGTTAGAGTGAAAGTGTGAGTGAGTCAGGTGAATGCTGTCGTTTATATTGATTTGTTCTACCTGTCCATCATCCCCTGTGTCTGTAATTACTGGTGTGATTAGTCTTGCTTTGCTATTGGCATAGTCTGGCGTCAGCATGCTTGTATCGCAAGTTGCACTGTCCAGCCTTTTCTCCTGTGTTTGACACACTGAAACAGCAGTTTGACATTTCATACATATGGGACCGTTTCTTTTGTTGCTCCGCTTTTTGCCCAGATAAAGCTCTGGTCCATTCTGAATTCCCTGAGTCATGTGGTTCTGATAGCTGAGCCGGCTGGATTTTACCCACACAAAATTAACAAACGTTTAAGCTGTCATTGAGCCATTTTTGTGTGTGTGTGTGTGTGTGTGTGTGTGTGTGTGTGTGTGTTTTTGGAGAACACTGCAGTAAATGTGTGTTTTTTTTGGAGAATTTCTACAGTTCATCATCACTGCATGAAAGCGAGAACTTAAACAGCATTATCAAGTGCTGAATTACAAACGGAAGATATGGTAAGAAAAAGAAGTATATACTGTACAAAGATAAAGGTAAAATAAAATACAGAATATTAATGCAATATTATTAGGATATTTATTGTCATTCCAATAATATTTATATTTCCGTTTTTTTTTTATTTTTTTAAACACAAGTTTTTCATTAGGACAGAATGTTATCAGCAGAAAAACACATGAACAGTGAGGCTGAAGTTCAGATACTGCTACTTTTCCAGTCCCATTCCACAATGAGGGGTACAGATTTATCAAGTCAAACATTCGTCAGTTCAAAGCAATAGTGGACTGATGCTTCCGGGCCTTTGTTCTGTTTACTTTATATCTACAACATCCCACCTTAAAATAGAAAACATGGTACATAATCTTACATCTGTACAAGGCTCTGAGCCAAGGTAGATGGCAACAAAGAAGCAATGAAATACAGGGAGATTAAAACCTCCTGTGTATAATGATTTAATTATTTAAAACAAACAAATGTACATTACAGTTAGATGCTTCCCCTTTTATCGTCCTGTTAGGCTCAAAAATACACTGCAAAAAGAATTTCCAGAGGGGTATATAATTTGTCAGAACTAAAACACATCAAGCAAACATTTTTTCAAGAAGAAAAAAATAGTGTTTCATGCTATACACAGATGATTCCATTTGAGCAATGTCCTTTTCCCCCTCCCCCCAAAAAAAAAAGATTTTTTTTTTTTTTTATCTCCCCCTCCCCCTGTTTACCTCTCTAAGGCGAGTCTGGCTGACCAATAGCAGTGCTGCTGAGGACAGGGGGAAGATGAAATCGCGTCCCACTGAGATGTCACAGAAGCAGATTAACACTGTTGCTGCCAAAGAGTCGAGCTTCTCGCAGGTGCCAGCTAGTGAAATATTCGCACTATTAACACACTTTATGTATTATATATTTATATATTTTAGTAGCTCAATGCATTCTCATTTGCATCATCAAAACATATACAATGCCATAAAACATTAGTCACACTAATGTTTGTAATTACTCCTGATCTATAAGAATCCACAGAGAACAAGTACAAAAATTAGTAAGTTTAAGAAAAAAAAATCTCTAGTAAGTAAGTTTAAGTTTAAGATGAGCAGAATGCGTTCTTGTTTTGATCCAATCAGACTGTCAATTAGTGTTTTTTGACTGTGAGTGTATGTCAGGGATTAATACCAAAATCTGTAAATGATGGCAAAAATGTTTCAGGATTGTTTCAATAATGGTGGGTGTAAAACAACCAGGGTGTCATTTTATAATTACATGCAAAATACTTTATGTAACATCCAGGGAATGAATCACATCTGAACTCCACACTCTTTCTGTTTTTCAAGTAATCTTTCGTTATTGTAGCAGCCATGAGTTGAAAGACATACAAACCAAAATGACTTCACTCACCCAATACCTCACATTCACTTTATAAACTAGTCTTCTCGTGTTCTTTTTTACTTTAATTGTGGAAAACCTCAATTATTAATCAGTTTTGTACCAGCAAAAGTTACTACTACCATTCAGTTGATCATTAAACAATTCATCTACTGTAGCTAAGCATGGCTAACTCTATTGGCAATATTATGTCTTTTTCAGTAATTTGTAAAATGCTATTTTAAATACCTCGATTTCATATATCTGACTTTACACACAATCCACAGACTATGAATTTTCAATGGCTCATTAATGCAAGTAATACTAGACTCCTTTAAAATAAAATTTTAAAGAAATATATATTATAATATTGATAGCTTTTTTATCAAGAATTTACGCAAAATGGAATAAAGGGAAAATATTTTTAACTGGTAGTGAAATATTACTGTGATTGTACTGTATTATTTGTTGCTTTAATATTATTAGTAATTGTCTTATTTGTCTATATAATGCAAACAGATAAAAACACATGGGACCAGGAGGGTGTAGAAGAGATTTAGCTTTTTATTTCTTTGACATTTAATGTCATTTGTGTATATATGTCAATGTTAAACAATCAAATAAACAAACGCACACACACATATAATGTAATTTCTATATCTGCCTGGTCCCATGATTTCACTGACTTCCTGTCATTCTTGAGTTAAAAGTAGGGGGAAATAACTTGCCTGGCCTCTGTCACCTTCTTCACATCTGTCTCCACCCCTTCATTACTATTGACGTGCATCCAGTCCGCTATGTTTCAGCATGGAATAGTTACTGTCTCTTCTCCTGTTTTAAATGTATTTGCAATGACTGCTTGAAGATCAACGGTAACACAAATAAATGCAACTGTCTCATTTGTTCCTTCCCTTGAATATGGTTGTATATGCATTTTTTGATATATATATATTGATTGTCACATATCATTTATTAATCATTTATTTATAAACATATATTTTTTGTAATATGTACTTATCTTCTAAGCTGAACTTATGGTGAGTCATATTGATATCTAAGCCTTGTTGCATTTTACCTTCTGCCACTTCTGTGCGGGTTAAAAGGGGGGTGGAGTGGTGCTTTTGAGAAAAACAAAACGGCGGGGGGCCTCTTTCCTGTTCCTCTGTTCCCCTCAGTGTTTGCACAGCAGAAATATCCCCACAGAAACTGCTGTGACAGGACAGCCCCAGCACACACAAGGCTACACTCAATGTCCAGCAGACCACGATCTACTTTGATTCTCACATTCCTTAAAAATAATTCAGATGTTCCAAATATAGGAATAAGATATATGACTTTGCATTGGTGAACCTACCTCATTGTGTGTTTTTTTCACCTGTATTTCCGGTCACCTTTCATGAGATTCATTCAGAGGAATCACATCACATCAGTTTCAATGTGTTAATTCAGTCATCTAAATCCTGTCCTCTACAACATTCCCTTAATTAAATAAATGCACTGTAGTACTTACGGAGAAAATATGTTTGAGTATTCTGGATTGATCTATTTTTGATCTGCAAATATAACTATCCGTTTAAATATACTGCAAAATGTTCATTGAATTACACCATGCATGATGATCGAATTCATGGGTCATGTTATCTTTAACCCCAGCCATACCATACATACTTGCAGAGCAAGATAAACATTCCAGACACTCCTATACTATTTGCAGGCAAAAAAATCTTTAATTGTAATGTAACTAATTTATTACTGTGCTTTTTTAAAATACATAAAAATGTGACATGCGGTTTGAAACGGGTATTGGAATTATAATTATGTATGTATGTAAGCAGTATATCTGTATGCATAGGTAAACTTGTGTAAAATACATATTTTGTGTGTGTGTGGTTTAGCACGCCCTGAAGTTTTCCTTTAAGGTCTAAATCAATGCTGTCATTTAAACTTCACGAGGGCAGAGTTGTTTACCTCTTCGCTGCGTGTGACGTCACGACACACCCCTAATTCTGGCGTAGGAGGGAGTCGCCCCCCTCATCCTGGCCCCACCCCGCATGTGCCTACGAGCCATTCGCCTCGTTGGAGCGCATCGCGTCCGCGACGCGCCGACGGCCAATCGTATTGCAGTGTGGGTCGCCTGTGCTCTTCCGATTGGCTATCGGAATGTATGATGACGGGCACAGCGGATCCACGCAGTGGGAGGGAGGCGAAGGGGGCGGGTCAAGAGTTCTGCAAAATTATGTTCATGTATTTAGAGGTTTAAGCTGAAGAAATAAGCTCTCCGGCCGAATAAACGTGAGTCTGAGTTGTGTTTCTCTTTTCACCCACCTCTGTTCAGTTACGTTGTTTGGCATGCCATCTCACACAGTAAGGCAGCGATCATGAATCTATAGTTTGCGTGTGTACAAATAATAGCAAAAATAATAATACTGATAATACTGAGAGCGATAAAGGAAAGCATAAAATCATCGTACCTTGCAGCTAGCTAGACATCTGGGTCAGTTGGACGACTTAACTGCGTCCAGTCGTGTTATTTAAAAATTGTCGTTTTCCATACTTTCGTTACAAGACGGCCCGAGATAATGCAGATACGGCGAGGTAACGCGCGGCTCAGCTAGTACGCTTATCAACAGACAGGCTCGATTTAAACAAAAAAAGAAGACAAAGTTGAAGTCGTAACCCTACGCGGAAAAGAGGCAGCTGGCTCGAGGAGAGGGGAAACCCGGCCAGGCACGTTTTGGCACGGTTCGAGTCGCATAGTCCAGGTGGCCAAGAAGTTAGCAGACAGGAGATGAACCACGTTGGCTTGTTTGGTAACAGGCTTCGGCATATTTTAGTTACGACGCAGGTTAACTAACCCTGTTTGGCGCAGAAGTTGCGTGCGATCGCCACCCCACCCCCCCGGAATAAAGCAGACGCGCCCACTCGGCGTGACCCGCGGCTCGGTCTCCGGTCACGGTGTGGAGACGGTACCCCGGGACGTTCGCTTTGCCCGTCTTCGCCCATTCATTGACGTGCGCTTTTTGCTGACAGGTGAAACTCGCCAGTACCGGTCCGCTCGGACGGGAGTCATGACTGAGCCGCAGGTGAGCGCTTGTCCTTTGCTTTTGTCCCAACTACTCATGTCCGTAACCAGGTTTACGGCAGTTCGGCCGTAAGTGAACCGTGGCTCGCTGGTTGCGATGTGGTCACATGGGGATCGTCCACCAGTTGTATGGTTTATGGTTTATTTTAACATAATTTCCGCCCATTTCTGGGAAGATGTAGGTATCCCGTGCACTATTTGTAAACATTTATTCAGCTGTTGATTTATGCGACAAATCTGTGATTTTCCCATTTGCAGAATATCCATTTAGATATAATATTTTACTATTATGACATATATTTCGAGAAAATTGCCGTCATTTTTATTCTGGCTTTCACAGTCTATAAAGTCAAGTACAAGTACACTTCAATACGCAGTACACCTTACACCAATGTGATAAAAACAGCAATGTGTTATATTGCTGTTGTTTTAATATATAACTTTAGGATCACCAAAGCTTTTGGTGAAATTGATGGGTAGATTATTACTAGACATATATGTCTTGCTTAAAAAATGTTATCAATAATACCCTTCATTGCCTCATGTCTTACTAACTGCTTAATTCGGTGATGTTTTTGTTTCAGGTAATTTCTAGGTCCTCTCTAAATCCAAAGCATTTAATATTCTATTAGTTGGCTGTGCTCCAACAACATTACAATGTTTCCAATTTATATATCATGAAACAGCCTGTATCTACCCTGTTTTAAAAGGCTAGGCCAGGGGTGGGCAGTCTTACCCAGGTTGGGCCGGTGTGCATGTGAGTTTTCGCTGCAGCTCCCTAATTAAATTACTACTTAGAGGACTGATTGGCTGAAGAGTCCTCACACCTGGGTTTGGACAGCTGACCTAAAGGTTATCACAAAAACATGCATAGACACCAGCCCGTTGTAGATAAGATTGCCCACCCCTGGCTCAGAGGCATCATTGGGTGGCTGTCATTTAAGTATGTACAGGGGTGGTGCAATTTATTGACAAGCTATGCTAAAAGCACTTTAACCATGAAATCATTGAAACATCAGGACAGATAGAATTACTATTTTAGGCCAGTGTCATAACCCGTTTTAATTTGGTTGCCTTGGCATGATATTGTCATGGTGACAGTGAGAGGGGTGTGGCTTAAACATTCCTGATGTCCAAACTATGAAACAGTTATACTGTTGGATAATTCTAGTTATTTTATTTAAGATGTTAGATGCTCACAATCAACATGGTCATTGTATTATAGCTCTTTAATCAATGAAATTGTTTGGGAAGAATCTGATTACATAGCTGAGGAATTAATACAGGGATTTCATCAAACTTCTTTTGTTACTTCCAGGAACAAATTACACCTTTTAATATGGATTGTAATGTTATTTAGATTAGCGGTTTCACTCTCTCTTGGGAAAATATAATTATCCTTTGAGGTGTCTGAAATTGGATTTGCACACCATTGCTTTCCTTTCTGCCAAGCAGGCTGTCTGTAATGCTTGTCGAAAGAGTGTGATTGCCAGAACAGCGGGAAGAGCTGAGGAATCTTCAGGGGTGGACACTCTATGATGCTTAGTTTTCCATTCGGCCCATTTTGTTTGCCTCGTGTCGCATCGGGCGTGTGACCACGTTAGAGGCTTTGGCAGGAGCACAACATGAGGTGAGGCGTTTTAAATGCACGTGTGTCCTTGATGAGAAGATTTGAGTCAGATATATCTGGCCTCCGGTCGACTCACTGCAGTGCCGATGCCGCCAGCCTCGCTCTCCGCGTCCTTCATTCGGTGGCGCTGGAAAGATAGGCTCGTATTTATACTGACTGTGTCTTTGAAGAGGCCCAATTTTAGGGGCGTCTGCTGCTGCTGCTCATAGCCGGTTCAGGGAAGCGGTGGGGGTTTTGTTGACGAGAGGGAGGAGGCCCCCCCCCCCCCCCCCACACCCCCAGGCCTGGGTGTCACAGTCATCCGCCTGGATATAGCAAGTCCACTGATAATCCGTGTCTGCTCTTTGCGGGGTAGAGGAAGCTCGA